CGCGAGGGGCGGGGGCCGCGAGGGGCGGGGGCCGCGAGGGGGCGGGGCCAGGGGCTGATTACATTCCGCGAGTCGCGGAAGCCAGTGACCCAGGTCCTGCAGAGGCCGACGGTTAGAGGGATCCTACCACGCAGAGAATTGAGTGCATACACCTTCGGACCCTCGTCTGCACGTGCACTGGTCACTTTGAGAAGGGCAAAATGAGGGGAGATGGAATTTCGATGTCCAGAGCTGCTTCTGTTCTTGGCGGGAAGAGAGGAAAAAGTCGGGTGGCCTCATTAGTGCTTTAAACCTATGGAGTAAACGATGTCTTGAATTGGGAGAGAGGGTTGTCCCTGGATTTGGATGAACAAATGTCCCCTGCAGCACTTGGTCCCCCAACCTTAGGTCACCCCAAGATTATGGGTTTCCGGGGGTGAGGGGGATCTTTGGACTCGTTTCTCCAGAGATCAGATTTGAATGATTAGAACCAGGAACCCTCTTCTCCCACTAGCAGGGCCCAAGTCCTGGGATGTGAAATTGACATTGGACCGTGGAAGGTTTTACTGCTTTAAAAACTGCTTTGGTCACAGAAGAGCGTAAGGAGCATTTCTATTAGAAAATTCTAAGGGTCCCTCAAGCTTGGCTTCTAGGAAAGAATTGGTTGTTTTTCTCCACTTGGGATGCGGTCAGGCACCAGGCAACGTGTTTTGAAGGAGGGAGGCGCATTTATTGGAACAAGATCTGGATTCAAATTTCACCTGATATGAGGTATAATTGCTATTTAACCACTTAGGCGCCCTCTAAGGGGATATATGCCTTTGTAGATGGTTGGGAACTTCGAATGACATGAAGTATATAAAATTCTGACATGTAGAGATGCTTAAATATGGTGAATTTTATAATTATTATTAAAATGGAACCAGGTGGACCATTTCAGGAACCAAGAGTATATAGAGATTCTGTTATCTTAAAATCCTCTTAATCATCTGTTCACATTCACTCTAAATCTCCTTGGAGTCCTGGATGGCAGGAAAGAGGCAAAGGAAAAAAGCCAGAATGGAAGTTTTGGAATGGAAGTTTTTAAAAGAGCTCAATGAAGTCATTGAAGAACACATCCCTAGCCTGATAAGGACGTAGCAAACCACTATCTCCTCTATGACACGCCTACCCTGATGTCTTTAGTTTGACTGAAGAAATTTTGTTCAATAAAGGCAAAGGAAAATTCATTATTTTCTTGATCAATACCTTTTAAAACATTAGTTTTGATGAATTTGCTTTGTCCTGATAAATGGGGTAATGTCTGACTGGCCATTCCCGTTGTTCTACTTCAAGGAAATGCAAGAAAGCCCCAAATCTGATCTGATTAAATTTCCTCTTCCTACCTCTCTTCCCTGCAACAGAAGAGCTCAAGTCCATTTGTAGAATGTATTGTGTTCCATGTTTATTTATTGTTCTTGAAAGAGGGACAAAAATGGTTTAGTGACCTTGGAGAATAAAAATATTTTCTCCACATGGAGGGGTGGTTAAGCAGATAAGGCTTCCACTTTGGGCCTCAGGGTCTTCAAGTGCAAAGTTGGGATGATAACGCTGTTTGTTCAGAACATGAATGGAGAGAAAACGAGCCCCTGGCACAGAGCCTGGCACAAGATAATTGGTCAATAATGCTTAGCTATTATTATTACTCCTACTACAATATTATGTACGTGAATAAAAGCACCTGCTTCCAGGATAGTTGTAAGGATTAAAAATCATTAGGTAGAGTGCCTGGTGCAGGGCCTATTTGAACCCATGTTGGTTATTCTATTTCTGATGAAAAAACATTCCATTTCATCTTTGTGTGTATAACTTTAGAAATTAATTAACCTAAAATTTTTTTTCTTTTCAAAAAATTTTATATCTACATGAGATGATGGATGTTCACTAAACTTATTGTAGTAGACATTTCATGATGTAGATAAGCCAAATCATTATGCTGTACACCTTAAACTTATACAGTGCTGTACGTCAACTGTATCTCAATAAAACTGGAAGAAAAAAAAAGAAATTATGAGAGAGACAGACAGACAGAGGCCCTGCCCTTCAATGTCCTGTGATTAGATGTCACCAGTGGTGTAAAAGTTCTACTAATTATGGGTTCTCTGTCACCATTCCTCAAACACTGAGTGAATCTGGCCATTTCTGGGGCCCTAGACCTTTGATGCTTTGTAGAACTTCACACTTGCAAGCAAAGGACCAAGCAATGAAGTGCAAAATAAGCAGTATATTTTATAGTAAATAAAAGGATGGTAAGCCAAAAAAAAAAAAATATGTCCATTAGTTCATCTACCTCTATAACTTTTGAATAGAAGTTATTTTTGGTGAAATTCTCAAAGGGAGAATACAGTTTAGCTCTGGCTGGTACATTCAGGCCACTGAATAAATTACCAAAAGTATCTATCTAGTGACAGTTTATCCTAACAAAGTGAAAGGGAAAAGCCAAACACACTTAGACAACTATCTAATTGCCCCACAACAACGATCTTTTATTAAACTCCACAGTTTTTAATGGCTGAATTTTCATCACAGATCTAATTGTTAGCAGAGCATCGTGGAAAAATGTTTAACACAGTGTTTTTCTGATTATAAAAGTAATACATGCTCATGAAAGATAATTTGCAACATACAGAGAAGCACAAAGAAAAAAACACCTCAGTCAATAATTTTATTTTTCCTACTAGCTTTTATGTGTGTATGTATGTATTTAATTTATAAAACTTGTATTAGATAGTGTACACATTGTTAGCATCCCTCTTCACTTACCATTCTCTCCAATGTCTGTTTCCCTAGTGTCTTTGATAAATCTTCAAAAACATTTTAAATGGCTATATGTTATATAATATGTATAAACCACAATTTGTCCATAATTTATTCTACCAGTCTCCAATTTGGAAATTTCCAACTCTTCTCCTTCTTTCAAGAGTATTTTTTGAGTGTTTACTATATATTAGACACTATGCTAGGCATAAGATTTAAGTAGTGAACAGTCACTATAAAAGTAAGGTTTTGATGAACATCTTTGTAAATAAGTCTTGAATGGCATTTTTCATTCTTAGACTGAATTCCTAGGATTATGAAAACGTAGCTTCAAAAAGCATTTTTTTCCAGCTTCAAAGGCAAACTTAAGGAATAAAACTGTGAAATATTAACTTTCTGGAAAATTACGAACAAAAGAATTAATATTTATTTTGTGCAAAGTGTGAACTTACCCAGAAGATGCTTTCTCGTTAGTGACTGTGAAACATCAAGGGTATTTGAAGTGTATTGACTTTGGTTTTTACCTCTAATTCTTTCCAGGATTTGCAGATTTTCTCAATAGTGTGAGATTGTTTGAAGTCTATGCAAATTGCCCTACTTCCTCTTTGCTCAGTTAAAATGTTAACTGTTTTATTTCCAAGCTTTCCTCTTGTAAACATAAGGCTTTTCTACATTTCTTTCATTTGCCTTCCTGTGTGAAATGTTTTGTGTCTTCACACTTTTTAACCTGAAGGCAGATTTTTTTTTCTTCTAAACCCAAGTTATAATGTATACATTCTATAAGACACTGAATTTAACATATTCTGTAGTTAATTTTGGCCAAGAAACATCATGTAAGTTAACCAATGTATTTAGGGAATTTCATAATAGAGATTATTAAAAGTAATAATCAACTCCCCAAACACACACATATACCCTGCTATTCTTTGACAATTAAATGTTCACATAAAAGGTTGAACCATATAAAACTGCCATTTATGGATTACAAGTGGTCAGTTAATGACAACTTCATATGGTTCTGCCTATATAAATATTTCATTAACTAGTTTATAATTTTTCAACTTTCTCTGAAGAGTGAACTTCCTGATTATCATACTAAGGATATCTTTATCATTGCACACGATTATGTCTGCTTTGACAGTCATAAATGTTGGAATCTAGTCAGGAGAGTGCTGTAAAATGTTTGTTTATTATTGCAGAGACAGTAGAGGGAGCCTGGAGCCAAAACATTGTTATTTTAGGTCTTGCGTAAATGATGATTTTCTTCCAATTCTGGGTGTGTGGATGAATTTAAATATATGTGAAATAGCAACCTTTTTTTTCTTTTTCTCTTTCCTGATAAAAGTTGGTTGTACTTAATCACTTTAATAAGATGGGACGGGGAAGGCTGGCTGTCAGTTCAGGTTAGACCCCATCAGAGTCCACAGTGGAACCAACCTGTATCCCATTGTTCTCTGCACTTCTCTGAGTCACACAGGAGACAGCCCACTGCCAGGCTACAAATCCATGCTCCACAGATTTCCTTCTTTCAGCCATAATGTAGATCACCTCATTTCCATGGGCATTACATCCTGATTCTTCTTTATTCCAGCAGAACTTCCAATATACAACCATCACCAACTGTGTGTCTTAATTTAAAGTGATTGTAGTTTAGTTGATTGTTTCCTCCAGACACAGAGTAAGGAGGCACTTTGATCCTGTCTTCAACTCACATCCTTCTGGGAAGGTTTCTAGTAAATTACCAGTCCTTTCACAGAGCAGGGAAACTTCGTTTGCTTTAATTAAAGACATTGTCTCTTGCTGACCTCTCATCGACCACCTTTATCCTCAGTCCAGTCTTTTGCTAATTCCACCCCCTACCCTGGTGTTACAAAGGGGTGTCACCACTATTTGTCACTGTAGGTAGTCTAGGGAGGTCTCCAAGCCCCCAAGGTAACATGAGTCCCTAAATCTAGAGATAAGATGAAGACCATCTCTATTGTAAAACCTTAGAGGAAGTCACAGAACCTAGGTAGAAGCAATTTGCTGTGGCAGGGTTTCCTAAACTGGGGTTAAGGGGAAATTCTTTTGGTATGTTAATAACATCCAGAGAAAAACCAAAGTAAATACACTGGGAAAATTTGTTTGTTAAGCAGGGGTTTTTGTTGTTGTTGTTTGGTTTTTTGTTTTTGTTTTTTGCTTAAG